AAATATTATATTTTTAATTGTGTTGGGATTGTCACCTGTGGACATTTTAAACTGTTTTACATATTCGTGCAGAGGCATAGCCTCTAAAGAAAGGTTGTCTCTGCAATGGAAATAGTTGTTCCTGGTGATTAGACATGGCAAGTAAACTTGGACTCGTATCCAGATGAATTTTATATTTTATTAAAATGTAATTCTGCCAGCCCATTTCTACAAACAATCTATAATTCCATTATAACACAGTTGTTAATGAAAATTGCTTCTATTTTGACATTATGCCTGCCAGTGACCGAGTGGATAAAACTACTGAACTCTAGCAATTGGTCACGAGTTTGCACCTGACCAATGGACTGACCATGTGGTGTTTTCTGGTTCACATATCTAATACCTAAATAATTATCTAATATCCAATTTTCACTTTCTTTCATTTGCCTACCTTTAAAAAATTTAATCTTTTTTATAGTAACTTTTAATTTAATCTATAAAATAAAACATAGCAAATCTTTCAGCTATATTTAGAGCACTATCATCAAAGATGGCAACACATGATTTATAGGAAAGCTAGAATAGGAAGCTAGGACAAAGAAGAAGAAAAATTGTACAATCAGTTCTCATTACAGAAAACCAGGCAAAAGGGATGAAACAACATTGAAAATTTCAATATTCTAAAATCTGTGGGAAAATATGAGACAATACACATGCTTGTTTGAATAAAAAAATATCAAATGACAGGGTTTGCACTTAAAAATTGCAATATTTTGTCCAGGCTATTCTCAAACTGTGTTGTATGAGGGATATTCCCAATTCTTGAACCATATTAGAATAAAACTGCAATGTAGGAAGGATACGTATTTATATATACATATCCAATATTACATTAGATATAGTGTTGATTATATGCATAATAAAGTACAAATATATATATTTAATTATTAATATTTTAACATATTAGTAATTTAAAAAGTATTTATTATTTTCCATAAACTTAAATTTATTTTTAATAAAAATTATTGTTAATTTTACAAAATTTTTATTCTAGTTGTTATCTTTTGGCAACATCAAAATTTTGATATTTGTTCAATTGGAAGATTAAACTTGCTTAGTGAATCAAACAAAGCAATTAGTAAGTAGAGAGATCTCATTGATTAATTGATATGATAATTTTTTAAAATAGATTAAGAAAATAAAAACTAAAACAATAAATATAGTTAAAAATTCATTGTTTCTTTATACTAAAAAAACAAAAAGAGTAAAAATTAAGATATATTTACAAAATGTTTAAAATTAATGTGATGAAAATAGTTAATACTTTGACCTAATTTGTTTCAGAATAGTTGTGAATTTATATATGTAATTTAATATTCTACAGTAATTACAAATGTATTCAAATTTAATACAGGATAAAATTAAAATTATAAAGTGGTACTAAGCATATTTAACGTTACTCTTTTAAATCATAGTTTTCAATTTGAATTTAAAATTCTGAGATAACTGGATTTTTTTATAGTATATTTAAAATGTCAACCCAATTGTCTGATTTGTCTACAATAATAGCGAGGTTGAGGCTGAAGTTTTAAACGTGAAAACATGTATGTCAGGTGTTCAGCGCCGCTTTCCTGTAAGCCTAGAAATTTGACAGTGGTGTTTGAATAGTTAGTGGAATCTTGCTCAACATTCAGTTTCAACCTTGCTAATTACTATACTATGCTAAATTCTTTTTTAATATCAATACATTTTGAATATAGATGTTGAATATATTTTATTTATTTTTATTACAAGGTTTTTCACCCTTTGTTTAGGTAATAAAATACTAGAAATACATTAAATGAACAAACAATATACAAAATTCAAATAATTAAACAAACAATATATGAAATTCAAATAATTATTAATAAATATGCAATAACCACTGATCAAACTATAATGACCTGGTACCATAATAATATAGATAGATTTTTTTAAGTACTTTTTTTTTATAAAAACAAACAAAAAAAAATAAAAATTACACCTGTCTGATAAAAATACAAAAAAATAAGTGTTATGCAAAAAAGATAAGCAACAGATAAACACCAAGATTAAATCCTTGATTTGTGATATAACAACTTATTAAACTTTATTGGTTATACATCATTTTAATGTCAATATCTCTAATAAATTGGGAGAACCCTAAAATGATTTTCTTCTTAATTTTAATTTCTATACATAAACTTACATATGCCATCCTAAATTTTATTCTTATGCTGATTTACTATATTTTGTGTATATTCCATTGGAAAACGTGTATTAACATATTTGATAAAATCTGATAAAAGATTTTAACTAACTTATGCCAAACTGTATGGTTATATCTAAATCAATAGTTGTGGTAGCAAAGATCAAATGGAGGGCTGTAATTCCTGAGAACCTGAGGTCTGAGAACTCTCTGAGAGTCTGAGGTCTGAGAAGGGCTGTAATTCCTATATGTCCTGTAATTCCTGAGAACCTGAGGTCTGAGAACTCTGTCTAATCTGCAGAGGTTTGAGAAACAAAGATATGTAATTGTTGATTAGAACATTATTCAATATAACAAAGAACAAAGCAAGAAAGCATCTACTTCTTCCTAGAGGAAATGCTCAACACTTGTTTTCCAACAGTGAGTGTTGAGTCAGTGATTTGACATTTTGCAGTGTTTTCTATAACATCTTTGGATTATGTCAAGAGAATGTGAAACATAAGACTTCACCTTAAAACCCAAGCTCAACAGGCAGCCGGGGATAGTGAATTCTGCATCCAAGATGTTTTTATCTGATGCCTAGTAGTGTTGACCCAAATATGTGCAATGATGAGGATTTAGAACATCTGATACAGGAAGTTTCGAAAGATTTATTTTCCATCATAATTATCATCAACATTTCTACCACAGTCAAATTTCTGTCAACCTGCTGCTGAATTGAAAATTCCTATTATTGTTAAGTGAGTTATTCAAGAACTTTTTGTCAGCTTCCAAACACGACTGCAGTGAACTAGTTGATGGAGAGAGTGACATGGTAATGCTGATCCAAGAAATTATTCAAAAGGAGCTGCAAAACTATGCAGAAAATTTTTCTCAATGACCATAACTGATAGCTGTACAACTAGAAATGTCTCATTGACAGCGAATGGAAATGTCAAGAAGACTACCATTGACATAGATTAGTCACCCTGTCACCCTGCTGAAGTATGATGCATGAACATCTGGTGAACCACTGACTGAATTCCCATCTCTTGTGAAGGACCCCATTATGTCTTATTGTGGACCTGATATTTCCTAACATTGCAATTGAGACTTCCCCTAATTAAGGAGGAGGTGTCATTCAGGATGGCAAGGTGTGAACTGCATATGTGGGTGGTAGCGTTAGACACAGAGGCACACTCTCCATTTACATTTAACACCCATTTATTAATGTACAAAAGACATGTTACACAAGAGAGGAGATCTCCTTTGGTCCTTAAAAACTAATTCGATGTGATAACAGTGTCTGGACGGGATGCAATGTTCATATGATGATAACGTTCCAAAGTTCATTGCTTCTTATCAGTGAATCAGAGTTCTGAATGGATGGTCCACTGGTGGATAATGCAAAGCACACAGTTGTTGGTTCTCATAACCAGGGTCAGTGTTATCTGTTCCAGCTGGAGAATCTCTTTGGTCTTTGGGGAATCCCTTTCAGTTAACTCGGTAGGAAAATCTCAACTGACCCATTGAGGCAAGAAAAACTCTCACTCTCCTTGAATTCAGGCCTCTTAAAGGTCTCGCATCCCTGACCAGATGTTCTGGTTGGCTGTGATCTCCATCTTCTATCCTTCTGATTGGCCCCTAGTTTGTTGTCAGGGCCAGTTGAGACAGAATTCGTAGATCGGACACCAGCTGAAAATGTTTATTGAATTTGTTGTAAATCCGGCCATAATTCAGTCAAGCATTTTTACCTCAGTTGTAAATATTACCAGCTGCACTCAAGTGACATTTGGTTTTATTACACATCCTATCTTCCTGTATTCGTAATTCTTGGAGAAAATAGTTGAATTCCCGATCTGCTTTTTCAAGATATTTTATTTACTAAGAATATTTTATCTAAAACAACTTTTTCCTTTAAAACAGATTTTGGTTGAGGTTTTGGACTCTGCTCAAGACCTCACACGCTTCAATTGTGGAGAAGTGGAACATGTTGGATGCTACTGCCAAAACTTGATCCCAGCAAAGACCTGTGATTTTTTTCACCACTGAGAAGGGCTGGAGTCTAAAGGACTACTGATACTTGAAGAACCATGCGAAGAGTATTGGGGTTGTCTTTGACCATCCAGTTCAATGAGCCACTGATCTATGTGTCATCAATTGCTATTGAACCTGCTGTTGAGACCATCATTTGTCTCTTGATTCATTTCAGGCATAAAAAAAACACCTACTTTACAAAGCAACAAACAAAATTTATAAATAAATTTAATAGTATTCAATGCCAGAATAATGTTTAAATACTTGAAAATCACCTTTTAATACAATTCCAGTCTTTATTTTTATTTCTGGCAAACTTTTTGACTCCTTTGGTAACCTGCTTCAGGTCTGTCAAAGATTCTAAGTGTCGATGATGTATATTGGAATGTTCACTTATGTAATGACATGTCTTCTAAAAATATTTTAAATATTGAAAACAATGTAATGATGTTTTCTGTGGTCATGTATTTTCTAAGTCCAGGAAATCATCACATATCCTGGAACTTAGAAAATACATGGCCACAGAAAACATCATTACATTGTTTTCAATATCTAAATACACTATGGTTATTTTTACATGGTTATGATAAATAACACCAAGTAGTTTTTTAAGCATTTTCAGTGTATCCTTTTTAAGACACCATACATTCACTTCAACATTCAGATTTACACCATCTCTGGTTTTTTTTTCATTCCATTTTTTTTTTATCACATTAACAGTCTGACCTATATGATATATAGAATTATTAGCACATTAAGAATACAGCATTTTATTAACACTGATCAACATTAAATCAACATACAATCATTTTAGATGGAGAAACATTGAAATACAGTCGATTTTGTTTAATTAGGCCACCGGTTAATCGGGACAGCTGCTTTATTGGGCCAAATACCAAAGAACAGAAATCAAACTAATAAATTAATACATAATTTAATTGCTTAATTGGGACAGTAACAAAAAAGGAATTTAGCAAGGTTTGATATAATTTAGGGATCTTCTGAAAATATGTAGACACTATGTAGAGTACACTAATGTCACGTAGACCTAACGATTGGCATAGACAAAGCAATTTTGTCTTTAGCTTGGGCAGTTCAGTTTTTCTGGAGGGGTCACCTTAATGGGACATATCATATGGGGACCCCGTCCGAGATAGACCTGAATACGAGCTACTGACCCTGCTCTGGATTGGACTGGACGATCCCTTTAAAAGTGAAGGGACAAAGATCCCTCAACAATTTTTCAAGGTCTCTCAACTGAGTTGGAAGACAGATAGAGTTTCCTTGGACGGTATTGTGTGCATAATTACATCTGGATTCAAACAACAGCCATCCGATCGTTGAGACTAGTGTCTGGAGCTGGTGGATTCTATGGACGCTTGTGCCAAAGTGGCCATCTTCAAATAAAGGAAACTATGCTGAAAGGAAGACCATAAGGTGACTTTGGTCAAACCCTTTCCTTTCTCCCTTTTTTAGTTAGAACATGTTCTAACTAAAAAGGGAGAAAGGAAAAATCGTTCAATCAGGAATGAATCGAATGGCCAACCCTTGTGTATGTCACTACTAATACTGTATTTGGCAACGCTAGTGTGTTGTGAATCAGTTATCTATTGTCATGAGTCTGGCAAATTTATAGTACAAATATTTTCAGTATTTTGGTTTTATAAAGCATTAAAATAGGTACTTAATTAATATTTTTACCTACTTATTTATTTACCTACATATTTTATTTTAGAATTTATTACTAGTTCATTTAATTGGGACAGCAGCTTAATTGGGCCAAAATGGATTAGTCCCAATATGTCCCAATTAAGCGGAATTGACTGTATTTCTAATGGTATTATTATTGCTTTACATCAAAAAATGCAATGAATTAACAGTTGTGGAATTTGTTTTACTCATATCCAAATTAATTTTTCTGATTAATTTAATTGTGGTTTTATTATTTTAAAAAATTTGTTTAAAAACTTATTATTTTAATTATATTAACTTTAAATCTTATAATTATTCATTTGATTAATTATATAATATGATTTACTTTTTCAGTGAATGCTTTTTATCATGAAGTTGGAAGTGCTTATAGCAAGGGTCTTATTCCACATAAAGTTTCTCCACTGCAATGAAATGAAGTTTGTAAGAAGATGTCAACATTTTGATAACTTTCTAATATTAATTGTATATTTTTTTGCAGGTATTATTTAGATATAAGAAAATCTTTATATAAAGTAATGTAGTAATAAAGTATATAAAGTAGTAAACCCTGATTATCCAATGTAGTATTGACTGATGCTTCCTTGGATAACTGAAAACTCTGATAAAATGGATGATCATGGTCATTTCAGATTTAAAATTACAAATATAAATAATTTATATGCTATCATTTTTAAATCTCCTTTTACACTTTATTAAATTTAATCATATATAAGAACAATATTTTTATGCCAATCATTATACAGCTAATACATAGAATAGTTTCAAGAATAAAAATGTGTATTATTATAGTTAGATTTGAATATGAATGGTTTATCTCATATGAAGTGAAATTATAAAAGATAATAGAAACAAACCATTTCATAATATATGTTGTTATTTTAATTTTTTTATAAAATGTCTTTGCGTTTTTGTTTTATAGCAGTTCCTCTCTTTTTTTGCCAAAATAACTAATAAATAATAAATGTTCTGCTGTTGCCTCAGCATCATCCATTTACTCAATATGGTCGAGGTTAAAAGTATTGCAGTATTTATGAACTTGGTGCACTCACAGCAAAGACTATGAATTATAATAGTATAAGAAAAGTAATATATTCATTTACAGGTTTGCAGAACCTTGGATAATCAGGGTTCTACTATATTTGATAAAAATTCACTTCTATATCTACATGATTGAATAATAATATAGAANCTCTTTTAAATATATTAGTTGTAAAATTTTATTATTTAATATACAAAGTTTAAATTTTTTCTATGAAATTCGTTTATTATAGTTTTATTGAGTATATTAATTGTAAAAAATTTAAGATAAGAGGATTTTATATACAGGTATACCTTGGGTTACGTCATTTCGAGTTAAGTCATTCTCAATTATACGCCGTTTGTCAAAAAAAATACATGAAAAAATAAAAATCAAGTTTAAGTCATTTTATTCGACTTTACGTCTGTCCGCCACAAATATTTAAGTTGTAATATCACTAGAAAAGCATTAAAAGTGCATAAAATCATATTAAAATATGTAAATTTACAGTAAATGTTAATATAATTGTCATAAATCCTAGAGAATGAAATATAAAAGCATCTGTGACTCCGTGGTGTCTTATTTAGCGGTCTTTAAGAGCTCAATATTGACATTTTCCATGGTAGTTCCAATATCTACCGTTTGGCGTTGTTGTCAGTGCCACTCGATATTGGTAAATTTAACATAAATTTGTTTATTTTCTACTATTGCAAAATAATTTTAATAACTGTATTTGTTATTTAACCTTACAAAATCATCATATTTTATAATGTCTTAGAGCAAACCACATTCACAAGTAAAGAGTCTGCAATGTACTGTAAACATCGCCAAATTGTAAACATATACATTTACAAGTATGTACATACATGTATTCGTAAATTTAGATTTTTTTTTCTGTACTATATTAAAAACTAAAATTTATTTGTTTGTAAGCTTAAAATAGATTCTTATTAACCATATATTATTAAAAATGCACTTATAAATACAATATGAAACTAGGAATGGTTATTTGTGGTTTAGCCTAGCGACAAATAAATTTGACTTAAGTTGCCTCTCCTGGAGCCAATTACTGATGTAAGGTGAGGTATATCTGTATAATCTTCTTTTTGACTATTACACAGTTATTGTGTTTTTGATTTCTATTGGAAAATTTGGCTGACTTCTCTGATTAACAATTTCATTACTCTCTGAAAGAGAGTAATCAACTAATTGTAGGTGAATGACCCAAACAAGTATTCTTCTCTGACCTGTTGAACAAATTCCACAAATATTTCATGACAGCAAGTGAACCAAAGTATATCACAGAATGAAAATGTTTATTAACTTTCTAAGGATACATTAATTGTCTGTATTGTAAAATCAAAAACCAGATAAAAAGTACTACTTTTACATCTATAATTCCTTTTTTAATAAAATATAAAATTCATCTGGATACGAGTCCAAGTTTACTTGCCATGTCTAATCACCAGGAACAACTATTTCCATTGCAGAGACAACCTTTCTTTAGAGGCTATGCCTCTGCACGAATATGTAAAACAGTTTAAAATGTCCACAGGTGACAATCCCAACACAATTAAAAATATAATATTTGTTTGTAGAAATGGGCTGGCAGAATTACATTTTTAATTGTGTTGGGATTGTCACCTGTGGACATTTTAAACTGTTTTACATATTCGTGCAGAGGCATAGCCTCTAAAGAAAGGTTGTCTCTGCAATGGAAATAGTTGTTCCTGGTGATTAGACATGG